TTCGTGCAGACAGTAAAGAAGGGGCTGAGGGCCTACGGAGAGCAGTACAAGCGAGACTGGGATGCACGGCTCCCGTGGGTGGTAGCCGGGTACCGCTTCAGCAAACAGGCTGCACTCAAGGACTTCTCGCCTTACTATTTGCTGCTGGGACGGGAGCCGATCCTACCAATTGACGCCCCGCGGGTACTGACAGACGTGGTTACCACCAGCTCAGAGGATGCATGGGTGGGGCTGGCAGAGACGCGGGCACGATATTTGCGGGAGATGCTGCCGGCAGCACTGGAAAACTTGCAGGTGGCACAGCTCAGAGATGCCCAGCGCTACAGGCAACGAAGGCAGGGGCAGGCCGGACATGCAGGCAGCAACATCAAGGTCGGAGAAGAAGTGTATGTCAAGCAGGCAAGGAAGGACCTGCTGGACATTGGGCTCAGCACGGAGAGGTGGCGCGTGAAGGAGATCAAGGAGTCTGGCGTGGTGGTGCTAGTGGGGGAGAAGGGACAAGAAAAAAATGATCACCGGACCAATGTGGCTAAGGCCCGGCCCCAGCGGAGAACTCAGGAGTCAGGGCAGCCAGAGCAGAGGCACGAGCAGTCTTTCCAGCAGAGAGTCCATCGGCGAGACTGGCCCGTGGCAGAGCCTACGCCGAGGAGGGGGCAAGTGAGAAAGCCTGAGATAGCAACCACAGGCCTGAGCAGAGAGCTGAAGAACTTGCAAGGGTGAGACACGAACATGTGCACAGACAGAGGATCAGAGGAAGTATGAGTAACCTAGATGTGGAGTTTTCGACAGCTGTCATGCATTAAATTGGATCAGGACGTTGGACTAGCAATATGAATGCATAACAGAGCAGAGTAGGAAGGAAGGAAGTAACGAGAATAAAAAGGAAAGAACCGAGGCCACTGTGTACCAAGCGGGAAACTCAGCGGCCTCGCGAATAACTACCGTTGCCTCGCAACGGTAACCCCACGGCTCATACTTAAGCAAGCACCAAAAGATGTATCAGTTGCTTGCTTGTATGTTTCCTCTATAAGCAAAAGAATTTATCCCTACCCCGCTCAAGAAGCGACAAGTGGAGGAGCCAATCCCAGCAAGTCATCAAAGGGGTTTCTAATCCCTGTCTCGTCAGTCAGCCGAGCTGTGTGCATCTAGGTTGACGAGGCGGGCTGAGAGCTTTCAAGTGAGAAAGCCTGAGATAGCAACCACAGGCCTGAGCAGAGAGCTGAAGAACTTGCAAGGGTGAGACACGAACATGTGCACAGACAGAGGATCAGAGGAAGTATGAGTACCCTAGATGTGGAGTTTCCGACAGGGTACTGGTGCTGTCCCTGCTGTTTCTGGCGTCGCCACGCGGCCCCGACCGTACTTCGTTCCACTCCTGCATCAGGTTCTTGGTCTTACACCTTCTCCTGGTCCTCCTCCTCCTCCCTTAGAGGGTTCACAGCCTGTCTAGTCACAGTCACAGCTACAGCCTGCCTCCCCTTTGCCTGCTCCTTCTCCCTACACTGGTCCGACTGGAGGTCTTACTGAGCGTCGTGAGCCTGCGTCTCGTCCTGCGTCGCCTGTTCGTACTGCACGCACTAGTGGTCGCGGTTCGCGTCAGCGTCCTCCTCCTGTCCCTGGCACGCACCGGATGTCTCTGCGTCCGTCTACTGCTCCTCTGCGTGCCCCTTTACCTTCTCCTCCTGCTTCCTCTCTTCCTGCTCTTGCCGACCCAGAGTCCGACTCTCTTCGTGCTGCCAGTCCTACTGTCACGCGTCTACTTGCTACTGCCATCACTGACCCTTCTTTCGAGTCTACTGCTGCGTCTGCCCTTGTTACTGAGCTCGTTGACTTTGCTGCTCGCTGTCGTCTAGACTACGCTGCTAGTCTTGTCGCTGAGTCTGAGTCTGCCTGTCCTCCGTCCGTCGGGGGTGAGTGTGCTCTTGGCACGGACGTCCTTGAGGACAGGCAGGAGGAGTTCCAGTGTCTGGCCGCCGCTTCACCTCATCTCGTGTCCGTACTGCTCACCCCTGAGGGAGACCCGGATGCACTTGACATCCCGACTCCGCGCTCTTACGCGGAGGCGATAGAGGGTCCCTACTCCTCTCGGTGGCAGGCAACTATGGATGCAGAGATGGCTTCCTGGAAGTCCACAGGCACCTACGTTGACGCTGTCCCCCCTTTTGGGGCGAACATCGTCAGTGGCATGTGGATCTTCAGGGTGAAGCGGCCGCCGGGTTCTCCGCCTGTCTTCAAGGCGCGTTACGTGGCTCGTGGCTTCAGTCAGCGGCAGGGAGTTGACTACTTTCAGACCTTCTCCCCCACCCCGAAGATGACCACTCTTCGGGTACTGCTGCACGTTGCTGCTCACCGTGACTACGAGCTGCACTCTCTCGACTTCAGCACTGCTTTCTTGCAGGGCAGCCTGCACGAGGAGATCTGGCTGCGCCGCCCACCTGGCTTCACTGGGTCTTTCCCTCCTGGTACCCAGTGGAGTCTCCGGCGTCCAGTCTACGGTCTCCGCCAGGCGCCGCGTCAATGGCACGACACACTGAGGACTACGCTGGCGGCACTTGGGTTTGCTCCTTCCACTGCAGACCCGTAGCTGTTTCTGCGCACCGACACCTCTTTGCCGCCGTTCTACATCCTCGTGTACGTCGACGACTTGGTCTTTGCCACAGGTGACACTGCTGGACTCGCCTACGTGAAGTCCGAGCTGCAGAAGAGACACACGTGCACTGACCTGGGTGAACTGCGCAGCTACCTTGGCTTGCAGATCACCCGAGACAGAGCACGCCGCACCATTACCCTGACTCAGTCACACATGGTGCAGCAGGTCCTTCAGCGCTTCGGCTTCACGTACTCCTCGCCTCAGGCCACTCCTCTGCCTACTCGCCACTCGCTCTCAGCTCTGCCTTCGGATGAGTCCGTAGAGTCGAGTGGCCCGTATCCAGAGCTTGTTGGCTGCCTCATGTACCTGATGACCTGCACTCGACCTGACCTTGCATACCCTCTTAGCATTCTCGCACGCTATGTTGCTCCTGGGAGACACCGACCAGAGCACATGGCTGCAGCGAAGAGGGTGTTGCGCTACTTGTGCAGTACGTCGGGCATGGGGCTAGTGCTTGGAGGGCGGAGTCCAGTGGTCCTCATTGGGCATGCGGACGCTTCTTGGGTTGACGACCAGGCTACGCAGCGGTCGTCACAGGGTTACACCTTCAGTCTTGGTTCCGGCTCTGTTTCGTGGCGGGCTACCCGCTCGTCTTCTGTTCTCGGCTCCAGTTGTGAGGCTGAGATCTACGCCGGGGCTATGGCTGCCCAGGAGCTTCGCTGGCTCACCTACCTGCTGACCGACCTTGGAGAGCCGCCTCGTTCTCCTCCAGTCCTGTACGTAGACAACAAGGCCATGCTGGCCTTGTGTCGGGAGCAGCGACTGGAGCACAGGACAAAGCACATTGCTCTCCGCTACTTTCTTGCTCGTGAGCTACAGCAGCGTGGACTGTTGCGGCTTGCGTACGTGGCCTCTGAGGCCAACACTGCTGATGTCTTCACCAAGGCACCTGCGCCTTGTGATCATCAGCGCTTCTGCACGCAGCTTGGTCTTGTGCCTGTCTTGCCTCACTTGCTCACTTCTTGACCTTGCTTGTACTTTCACATATATATACTCTTGCTCTTGCTTGCTTGGACTCTTGTATATCTATATATGTGCTCTTGCATGTGAACTGGCCTTCTGGCCTTTGAACTTGTGCTCGGAATGTGTGGTGACTTTGTGATCCACCCTGAGCTTTGCTTTGCTTTGCTTGACTGGTCTTGTGACCCCTTGTTCTCCCCCACTTTGCCTATGGGGGTGTGTCAGAACATTATAGCTTATATATATTTTGTGTAAGCTATAGTGGGGTATCCCATAGGGGGTACAACCCAATTTGGGTTTCCTATATGTACTCACTTCATTCATAGTTGATTCATTCTCGTTCTCATTTTCACACGAAGTTGAGGAGTCAGAAGAGCCGAAGCGACACAGCAACTGTCAGACCAAGACCGATGTAGGCAGAAACAGTTAAAGTGAAAAGAGCGGGAACATGTTGTAAACGGGTTCCCGCGACGCACAGTTTTTTCTTTGAATTCAGTCACAAAAAGAGAATGTACCCCTTAGAGTACATGGCTAGCCTAGGTCTTTTCGTATTCCCTTGTACTCTTATATAAACCCGATGTATGCATGTTATTATCATCTCAGTCATTTTACATTCACTCTGACCTGAGGTCTAAACTTCCGTTGCAATACCACTCTGCGATCAACCCTGAGCGATCCTTTGGTAAACCCTACTTGGGATTGTAACATGAACAAAACAAAATTGCTCTGTGGGGGCAAAACTTGTATACTGAAAGTGATATTATGAGCCATACGAAAACAAGACGTACTTTATATTGCAATCATTTTGTTTTATAAGCCATTTTGCAAATGGTGCTATGACACAGAAAAAATAGCTATAACGGAATGGGTAAATCAGGAACATCATACGGTTGTAACTTTGGTTACCAGGAAAACCAATGAGGTTCGGAAACTTCGCACAACCCACGCGTCCAGCCACTGTCGGAAACTGTCCTCGCAGCTAGTCGTCGGCATCCCTGTGGGCCACGTATGGGTCCAACTCACTGCTCCTTCGACCAGTTCACCATTGCACTGCGCGGCACTGCACCGTGCAGAACTGCACTGTACTCCACTGCACGGAACAGTGGAACGAGTACAACCAGAGAGAGGGTGGAAAGCCAGGCACACCTCAATAGTGGCTTCGTGGCGAAGCGTGGAACGTGGAACATGGATCATCACTCCGTTCCAAGTTCCAACAACCTCCAGCTTTCGTCATTCCTCATACACTCTGGCTTGACTTCATTCCGCTCGTCCTGAATTTGAATAATTTCGTATGCTCACGTACTTTCACTGACCAACTGATTCGACGCCGACCATTACAGTACATGACGTCTCATTCTTGTGGGTGAATCACTCATAGCACCGCGGAACCATGACGACACTTCCGCCGCTTCGCGGGGGAGCGCGAACGAGGCATCGCGCAGAGCAGCAGCACGCGGCTGACTACTCGTCCACCGATGCGTTCATGCTCGCCACGCTCGCACCCGCGACGAGCCACGACGGCTCCTCGTCGCACGATTTGTCGCACGCTTCCTCTGGTGCCTCGCGAACCTCGCAAACAAAACTGGACGGGGAATGGCCGCCTCGAAATCTCCGACCGCGAAACCCTAACGGCACAGCGCACGCGAAGGCAAATTCTGGTAAAAAGGTCAAGAAAGGCGGCGTCAAGAATGGGGACAAGGCGGAGGAAGAGAGTCAAGAGGGCTTAGAGGACAGGAGTACCGGTAGTGAAAGCGTCAGTAGGGTGTGCAGTTCAGGTAGCGCGAAGCCAGACGGTTTAGTCGCGCGCGTTAGGAAGAATCTAGGAGACCTGCGTCCGTTTGACGAGTCAGTTAATAACGCGGACGCTGGAGCCAGTTGGAATGCGGACAGCGGAACGGGAACGGGGCAATTGGGCAGAGAGAACGCGCAAGGAGGAGGCGGAGGAAGCGAAGGAGGGGGGACAGGTGGCGGAGAGCCGTCAGGCGGAGTGCCGTCCGCCAGAACAGCCCCTTCCACCCGCGCAGTTCCGCGGAGGAGGCGGACGGGCGGGTGCAGCTTCGACAGCTCGTTCGACCCGGTGCTCTCCACCTCGCCCCCCGCGCCCATGAGCGCCAGCGATTGCGACGCCCCCAAGCCCAAGGGGCGCAGGGCAGCGGCGGCGGCGGCGCTCGCCGCCAACGCATCGTTAGAAGCCCCTCCGATACCCCGCACCGCCACCAACTCTTCCGCCGTCTCCAGCTGCTCCGCTGCTTCCGCCGCCTCCGCTCCCCCGGGCGCGCTGAAAGGGATTCCACCCGTGGGGGGATCGCGGGGGCACAGCAGGAGCCGCTCGCACGGGTCCGGGCGGCTGCTGTCGCGCCTGGCGCACCAGCCTGGCGCAGAGCTCCCCGCAGACGCGGGCGCTGGCGCTGCTGCTGCTGCGCCCTCTAGCGCTGCCTCTGGTGCTGTGGAGGGGGAGAAGAGCGGCGGGGGAGGCAGGCATGCGGAGGGACTGCCCATGCTGCCCCCGCCTGACGCACCTCAGATCGTGAAGGTCCGATTCGGATTGGAACCGCGCCCCTTCTCTGCCAGCTCCGTTCCTTGTGATGCCAGCTCGGTTCCTTGTGATGCCAGCTCGGTTCAATGCTTGCTGACAGTATTAATCCCTCTTTTTTCTCCCCCCTCTTTACACCTCTCTCCCTTCACTCCCTCCCTTCTCCCCTCTTCCTTTCGCCCCTCTCCCTTCTTCCCTCCTCCTTTCTCCTCTCGCCCTTTCGCCTATCTCCCTTCTCCCCTCTCCCCTCTCCCTTCTCCCCTCTCCCCTCTCCCTTCTCCCCTCTCCCTTTCTCCCCCATCCCTTCTCCCCTCTCCTTCTCCCCCCTCCCTTCTCCCCTTTCCCCTCTCCCCTATCCCTTCTCCCTTCTCCGTTCTCCCCTCCCCTCTCCCCTCTCCCTTCTCTCCTCTCCCCTCTCCCCTCTCCCTTCTCCCCACTCCCCTCTCCCCTCTCCCCTCGCCCCTCTCCCCTCACCCCTCACCCCCCTCTCTCCCCTCTCCGCCAGTGCTTCTGAGGCGCCTCAAAAGCAGACTCCCTTCGTCCCTTTCCGTCTACCTCTGAATTTTCACCTCTATCCCTTGTTCCCACTCCCTCATCCCTCCTCCCTACACCCCCCGGCAGTGCCAGAGCTGCAACAAGTCGCTGGCAATGCCGTGCAACATGTCGCTCCACCCGCCACGCCACGGGCTGCCACCAGTCAGCAACCACCGCCTGCAGTGCGGCCACACTTTCTGAACCGCCTCAAAAACAGACTCCCTTTGCCCCTCTCCATCTGCCTCCTTCTATTCACCTCCCTCCCCCATCCCTCTCCCTTGTTCCTGCTCCCTCCTCCCCCTCCCCGCGCCCCTGCAGTGTCAGAGCTGCAACAAGTCGCTGGCAGTGCCGCCCAGCCTGCCGCCGTCCGCCAAGGGCTATCAGCGCCTGCGCTGCGGCAAGTGCCTGCAAATCTCGAAATACGCCCTCTACTCCCCCGCCACCGCCACCGCTGCCGCCTCTGCTGCTGGTGCTGCTGCTGACCTGGAACGAATGCCCAAGGGGGAACAGGCGGAGCGGGAGGCGAAGGAGGGGGAGGAAAACGGGGCGGAGTGTTATGGGGCGGGAGGGGGAGAGGCGGGTGAGAGAAGTGGAGGGAGAGGGGCGGAAGGTCAGGAGGGACCCGGGGAACTAGGTGCATTTCACACGTACCATGCGACCTCATATCACCAGCAGCAGTGGCAGCAGCAACTACAACAGCAACAGCAGCTGCCGCAGTTGCAGCAGCACCACTTGCAGCAGCACCACCACCAGCAGCAATTGCAGCAACCACAGCATGAGCATCAACAGTCGCTGCAACACCAGGAGCAACAGCAACAGCAACAGCAACAGCAGCACCAGCAACAGCAACAGCAACAGCAACAGCAACAGCAACAGCAACAGCAACAGCAGCAGCAACAGCAGCAGCAACAGCAACAGCAACAGCAACAGCAACAGCAGCAGCAACAGCAACAGCAACAGCAGCAGCAACAGCAGCAGCAACAGCAGCAGCAACAGCAACAGCAACCGCAACAGCAACAGCAGCAACACCAGCAGCAGCTGCCGCCGCCGCTGCCGCCGCAGCAGAGGTGCCACCGTCGCTCTCCCTCCACAGGCGCAGCAGCAGTGGTGGCAGCAGCAGTGGCGGCAGCAGCAGCAACCGCGGCCAGCAGCACCAGCAGACACGAGTCCCCCTTCCGCAGTAAGGCAGCCCTCGCTAAGGGCGCCAAAGTTGGCGGTGGGAAAGACGGCAAGGCAGGGGGGAAGCACCAACGGCGGGCGACAGTAGACTCGGCAGAAGTGCTGGGGGCGTGGGAGAGGGAGGCTGGGCAGGCTGGTGGCGCTGGCAATAGCAGTGGGGGGCGTAGTGGAGGGGGTGCGGGCGAAGGTGTGGGAGCGGGTGCGGGAGGGGGCAGTGGGATGCCCCCTCGCCCCAGCACGAGCAGTGGCGCGAGTCAGCTGGCGGTGGCGTCTGGGTTTGGGCCCTGGGATGCTGCCACTGCCATGCACGCTGCTGCTGCAGCCGCTGCCGCTGGTGGTGCTGCTGGTGCTGCTGGTGCTAGCAGTGTTGCTGGTGGTGGTGGAGCCTCTGCTGCACTCCCTATACCGGGCTTACCCCCCTTGGCTGCGCATCAGCTCGTGGGCAGCAGCCCCTCTGGCCCACCTCCTGGCATGTTCCCACCAGGCGGAGTGGCAGAATTCCTGAGGCAGCAGCAACTCGCATGGCAGCAGCAGATGGGGCAGCAGGGGGCGGATATGATGCTGCAGGCGCAACCCATGGTGGCAGCAGGCATGCTTCCGCCCATGGCCCCGCAACAGTTTTCACTGCCCATGCAGCAACCCGGCATGCCGCAGCAACCCGGCATGCCGCAGCAATTTCCACCTAACCCTGTGTCTGGTGCAGCAATGCCCTATGGCCTGGCGGGGCCGGGCATGCCTGGCATGCTGCTGCCGCCAGGGGGGATGGCGCACGAGGGCATGGGGCAAGCGGGCATGGCGCAAGGGGGCATCATGCACGGGGGCATGGTGCAAGGGGGGATGGGGCAAGGAGGCATGGGGCAAGGGGGCATGGGGCAAGGGGGCATGGGGCAAGGGGGCATTGGACAAGGGGGCATGGGCGCAGGGATGAATGGTATGGGCATGGGCATGGGCATGGGCATGGGCATGGGCATGGGCATGGGCATGGAGATGGGGATGGGGATGGCAATGGGGGGACCCATGGGGGGATCGGGGACAATGGGACCGCTGGGCGAGGAGGGGGGCTACAGCCGGCGAGTGGTGGTGAACAGTGTGCCCATCACCGACCCGGCTGTAGCGCGTGCAGAGGAGCTCGCTGGACCCATCCACCCCGGGAGCTACTGGTGAGTGAAAGTTGCTGCTACTGGTGTGAGGTGTGGTGTGAGGTGTGGTGAGAGGCGGTGGTGAGAGGCGGTGGTGAACAGTGTGCTCATTACCGGCCCGGCTGTAGCGCACGCTGAGGAGCTCGCTGGACCCATCCACCCGGGCAGCTACTGATGATAACTGCTGCTGCTGCTGCTGCTGCTGGCGGTGAGAGGCGGTGGTGAGAGCTCCTGCTGGTGTGTCCATAGATAGGAGGGTGCTTCTAGGGAGATTACGGCTAGGGGGGTTGCTGCTAGGGAGAATACTGCTAAGGGGGTTGCTGCTAGGGAGAATACTGCTAAGGGGGTTGCTGCTAGGGAGAATACTGCTAAGGGGGTTGCTGCTAGGGAGAATACTGCTAAGGGGGTTGCTGCTAGGGAGAATACTGCTAAGGGGGTTGCTGCTAGGGAGAAGGCCACTAGGGGGGGTTGCTGCCTGTGCAAGGCGAGGGACTGATAGGCAGTGTGCAGAGAAGGTGAGGGAAGGGAACGGTCAGATCAGAGCAGGTGGTAGGTGAGGAGTGGGCAGACAAGGTTAAAAAATCGAGGCGCTCTCACAAGAGCAAGTGCTGTAGTTTTCTCAGCACTCTCTATTATGATCGATCATTCCGCTTTACTCACAAGGGCCAGGGGCATGTGTGCTGCGGTGTGTGCTGCAGGTACGATGTGCATGCTGGCTTCTGGGGAGTGATGGGAGGGCCGTGCCTCGGGATCATCCCAGTATGTATCCTCTGCTTTTCAGTTTCCCCCCGGCTGCTGTGACTCCGCTCTCTCCTCCTCCCCTCACCATCCTCTTCCAAGTCTCAGCCCGTCTCATGCTGCTTCTCCCCTACCCAACCATGCCCAACCCCTGCATGACCCCCATTCCTTTCCGCTCCTACGATGGACTCTGGAGTGCTGTCCTTCTCCATGGCCGTGTGTGTCCTCGTTCGCATGCACCATGGCAGCAACTCACCTTCCACCCAATTGTGATGAGTCTATTTTTTAGTCGACTCAAAAGAAGAAGAAAAAAAATAGACCATGGCAACAAGTCACTTTCCATCCAAACTGCTATGCACACTGCCCTGCAGCATCTCACCCCCCCTCGTGTGTATGTACGTAGTGGTACCGGCCCTGCTCTGTCACACTGCGGGGATGGTCAGGGAGCCACACTGTGGAAAGCCTACACATCCTCATGCCTTCCTTTCACCGCTCGCTTTCAATGCACTGCCTCCTCTGCTCCCCCCACCCCCAAACCCGTGTGCAGGCGGGTATCTGGGACCTGGCACTAGCTCCTCTGCTACGCCACTGCTCCAACGGGCACACACGCGTGCTGGTGAATGGCAGGGAGCTGCAGCGGCGGGACCTAGACATCCTCATGCAGAGGGGCCTGCTCGACCACCCTGGCGCCGCCTACCTGCTGGATATTCACGGCAACCTTGCTGACGCCACCAATGGGGAGCCGCTGCCCTGCCTCGGCAAACTTGCTCCCTCGTGAGTTCTCTCTTCCTGGTGTGTCTGTTACGGTTGTCACTTTTTTCTCCTGCTCGAGCACCCCGGGGCCGCCTACCTGCTGGATATTCACGGCAACCTTGCTGATGCTACCATTGGGGAGCCCCTGCCCTGCCTCGAAAAACTCGCCCCTTGTGAGTTCGCCTCCTCCCCCCCGTGTATCCTTTTCATGATATGTCTCAAATGCTTGCCCCTTCATTATGAGCAGAAAGTACCTGGAGGGTTGTCCCGGAATCAGCATTTGTAGAACTGTGTGAGGTGCATGTGATATCTGGTTCATACAATTACAGTATCATTTTTCATTTTGGATAATACACATGGAAGGATGCTAAGGCATTGCTGCGTCCCATGTGGTGGTGCATGCAGGCTGGAGCTCAAGGGCAGGGGAGCAGGCATGTATGTACCCAAACAGCCCACGTAGTCTTCGGTTGTATAGTGCAATGGAGTGCACTGGAGTGAGTGAGTACTCCCGTGGATTGCAAGGGTCATTCCACAGTGCTATGGGGAAATTCAGAGGCTGTTCACACGAAAGGAAGACGTCCATTGGCCGTTGTCAGGTAGAATGCTGTGCCCCCTCCAAACCATACACCCTGTTTTCAGTAATCTGACTAGTATCAGCAATGTTTGCAAATCATGACCATTTCATGAGTGAATAGTTTTTTCAAGGCAGAAACAAAACCATAATAAAAACGCGCCATAATTCATACCCCCGCGTATTACAATATAGGGTGTATTGATAATAATCCCCAATGAAGGTGGGTGTTGATTTTATGGGTTGCGAAGCAACCCTTAACGATCGATTTTGACAAATGTTATTTTCATATTTATAAAACATGAAAATAAAATTTGTAAACTACAGTACCGTTCCTGTAAGGAATTTTCCGGATTCCTTACTGGGTCACACTGTACGCGTACAACTCCGACTTTCGGAAAACCAGGCTCGGCCCGCCGACCTCGCCTCCCGAGCCACCACCGCATCGTTTTCGGGTTTCCAATCCCGAACCTGCACCCAACCATCTCGCGACCCCGCGACCTCGGCCTAGCTAACCTTGCTATATTATGCATAGGCCCCGTTGTTCATGCTGCAGACGTTGTAATCACTTCCGCATTATTGAGTTCTGCGCACTCTTTCCTTTCACAACTTATAACACTTGGTATCAGAGCCTAAAGTCCTAGGTTGCCCTCGCGTTTCCGGGGTCGTTTGTAGAAGGGGAGCGATAGACTTAGTGGGCTGTTAAGCGGTCGGCCCGTGGAATAGATCTGATTATTCCACTCCGACTACGATAGCATTAACGCCTTCACCGAAGTCAGAAAAATCGCGAACCACCCCCTGCCCGTTCGACGAAGCCTGAGGCACATGGAGCAGGCCGAGTTCAACGAGTTCATGCAACAGTTCCGTGCGATGCATGCCAACTTGCAGGGTATGACTGCAGAGATGGAGCGTCTACGGAAGGAAAACGCCGAACTACACCAAGCGCGTGGTGAAGCGCGCCAGGAGTCGCCTGTCGTGGACGACGCAAGTAGAAGCACTACACCAGATGAGCGGGTCTGGAGCGAGCTGGAAGGCGAGATGGATGCGGACGAAGCGAGGCAGGCGCAGCAGGAACAGTCGCCACAACAGACGCGTGCAGTACCACCACGTGCAGCAGCGATGACGACGGCGACGCCAGCAGCAACGACAACGGCCCCGATGGCAGCAACGGCTTTTGTGAAAATCAAGCCGACGAACCCGCCCCCGTTTAACCCGAGTGATAAGTTTGTCACTGTTTCTGCGTGGTTGTTCGGTGTGGAGGTGTTCTTTAATGCTGCTATGATTTATGACGACGCCACCCGCATTAATTTCGCAAATTCACTGCTACGAGGACCTGCGCTGGAGTGGTGGAGGCGAACGCTGCAACACGAAGGGACTTCGGCAGGAATAGCACGTGCGAACGACGTGACTTCAACACCTGTCACTGTCAGAGTATTATAGCTGATGCATGTTTGTAGGCTATAGTGGGGTAGCACACATGGGGTACAGCTTTCTAGGGTTGTATTTGTACCCAATCTTTCCTTAGTCATTCCATTCCTGTTCACTTGTTTCACATGGTATAGAGCGGGTCCTTCCTTAGGACCGTTTTTTTAGGGCCCACCGAAGCGCGCCCCGAGGCGCGCCTTTTTTTTAGCGACCCCTCGGGTCGCCATTTCCCTCGCGGCCCCGCTGTCCCTCAGACGCGGCCCCGCCACCCCTCCTGATCGCGGCCCCGCCGCCAGCTTCGTCGCGGCCCCGCCGCCTGCTTGAGGCGGCCCCGCCGCCTCCACTGACGCGGCCCCGCTCCGCCGGCTCTGACGCGGCCCTGCCGCCCCCCTTCGACGCGGCCCCGCCGCCTCCCCTGACGCGGCCCCACCGCCGGCTCTGCCGCTGCACCCTACGGCCCGCCGCTGCACCCTACGGCCCGCCGCCTCACCTGACGGCCCCGCCGCTGCACCTGCCGGCCCGCCGCTGCACCTGCCGGCCCGCCGCTGCACCTGCCGGCCCGCCGCTGCACCTGCCGGCCCGCCGCTGCACCCAGCGGCCCGCCGCTTCACCTGACGGCCCCGCCGCTGCACCTGCCGGCCCGCCGCTGCACCCCACGGCCCGCCGCTGCACCCTACGGCCCGCCGCCCCACCTGGTCGGCCCGCCGCTGCACCCTACGGCCCCGCCACTGCACCTGCCGGCCCGCCTCTGCACCGGTCGACCCGCCGCTGCACCTGACGGCCCCGCCCCTGCTTCTCCCGGCCGAGCCGCCCCAGCAGCAGAGCCGCCCCAGCAGCCGAACCCCCCGGGACCCGAGCCGCCCTGCTGCCGAGCCGCCCGGGAGCCGAGCCGCCCTGCACCCGAGCCGCCCTACCGCCAAGCCACCCGGGAGCCGAGCCGCCTTGCGCCCGAGCCGCCCAGCCGCCGAGCCGCCCGGGAGCCGAGCCGCTGTGCACCCGAGCCGCCCGGTCGCTGAGCCGCCTTTCTGCATAGCTGCACGACCTGCCCTGCCTGGTGAGCACAGTCCCACTGACACTGCGAGCTCTTTCCCTGCTGCTTGCACTGCGTCGCTGTCGTCGCCATGGCTACCCCTAGTGTCCTAGCTTTTGACGCTGAGGGTCGCGCCATTGATTTTGAGGTCTGGTTAGACGACCTGCAGCTGTTCTTACAGTGCGACAGGGCTGACGACCTTTCTCTCTTTGACCTCACCTCTGGCGCCTCTCCTGCTCCTGCTGCTGATGCTGATCCCACTGTCCGCTCTAAGTGGGCCACCCGCGATGCTGCTGCACGTCTTGCTGTGCGTCGCCACCTCCCTACCTCTGAGCGTGCGCACTTTAGTCAGTACAAGAGTGCTCAGACCTTGTACGACGCTGTAGTTGCGCGCTACTCCTCCCCTGCCACTGCTGCACTGAGCCGTCTCATGCTTCCCTACCTCTTTCCTGACCTCTCTGCCTTTCCCACTGTCGCTGACCTCATTACGCACCTCCGCACTAGTGACACTCGCTACCGCGCCGCCCTTCCTGCTGAGTTCTGCGCTAAGAACCCCCCCCCCCATGTACATCGCTCTCTACTACGTAGTCGCGCGCCTCCCTGACTCCCTTCGCGTCGTCAGGGACCACTTTCTCGCAGTCTGTCCCACCACCCTCACCGTCGACCTCCTCGAGAAGGCCCTCCTTGCAGCGGAGAAGAGCATAGTCGCTGTAGGTGCTTCTCGTGGTGACCCGGGCATTGGTACTGCTGCGCTAGGTGCTTGTGAGGCTGCTGCTCTAGGTGCCAGTGCGTCTGTACTCTCAGGTACTGGTGAGACTGCGCTCTCAGGTACTGCGTCGTCCTCGTCCTCCCTCACTTTCACACTTGACTCCGGGGCTTCTCGCTCCTTCTTTCGAGACCGCACTACCCTTACGCCGCTTGGCCGGCCGGTTGCGGTCTCCCTTGCTGACCCCTCTGGGGGTCCTGTCCTGTCTCACTTCTCCACTGTCCTCCCGTGTCCGGCTGCCCCTTCGGGCACCCTGTCGGGTCTGTACCTTCCCTCGTTCTCTACGAACTTGGTGAGTGGAGCGGACCTGCAGGATGTGGGGGTTCACCAGTTCACTCCTGCTAGTCAGCGGGTGACCCACTGCACGGAGGCACGCACAGGCCGACACCTGGCCACGTTCTCGCGTCGGCCGGGGTCGAGTCTCTACACCCTGACCGTTGAGTCTCCTCCTGTCCCTGCGTCTGGTCAGGTGGCTGCGTCGGGTCAGGTGCTTGCTGCTGCGTCCCGGTCAGGTCCTGAGTCCGCCCCCTGTTCTTGTCGCCTCCTGTCTCACGAGACTCTCCTGTGGCACCACCGTCTTGGCCACCCCTCCTTGCCCCGTCTTCGGAGCATGGCTTCCCGTGTCCTTGTCTCTGGTCTTCCCCAGTCTCTCCCTCCTCTCCCCTCCGGGCCAGGACCTTCCTGTGTCCCCTGTGTCGAGGGTCGCCTCCGGGCTACTCCCCACTCCTCCCACTTCCCCCCCACAGAGGCTCCCCTGCAGACGCTTCACATGGATGTGTGGGGCCCAGCCCCCGTCCGTGGGCAGGGTTACGAGCGCTACTTCCTGTTGGTGGTTGACGACTACTCGCGTTACACCACAGTCCTCCCCTTGCGCAGCAAGGGTGCGGTCACTGAGGTGCTGATCGACTGGATCCGCGAGGCTCGTCTCCAGCTCAGGAAGAGCTTCGGCTCGGACTTTCCTGTTCTGCGTCTGCACTCTGACAGAGGCGGAGAGTTCTCTTCTCGCCTTCTGCGGGACTACTGTCGTGCACGGGGGATCCGCCAGACCTTCACGCTTCCGGACTCACCACAGCAAAATGGGATTGCTGAGCGCCGCATTGGCATGGTCATGGATGTCGCTCGTACGTCCATGATGCATGCGGCTGCCCCCCATTTTCTGTGGCCGTTTGCGGTGAGGTACGCGGCGCATCAGCTCAACCTTCACCCCCGGGTCTCTCGGCCTGCGATGTCCCC